CCTCCCCCTCCCAAAAGGTAGTACCCTTAGTAAGCTATGCCCTCCTAAAAGGGGGTACCCTTAGTAAGCCTTACCCCCAATATATGCCCTATATAGTTTGTATACCATGCGGCAACTATATGCTAAAATTTGTATACCAGGCACCAACCACTACCAGTTCGCTACCCTACTACTAACATAGTTAATAATAATTAAAAAAAATCTACATTACATTTTTGGTACGATATACTCATCAAAATCAACAAAAACAATGATATCGTGAGCGTATCGGTACAGGCAGTCGTGTTGGGCCGCTATCTGGCCCTCGGCGTGGATTAACCCCCGACCAAACGGGTACCGAAAGGGCAGTACAACTATGTCAACAATTGTTGCAAACCTATTGACAATTAATTGCAATAATTGTTGTGATATTTGATAGGAATATAACACAAATCTCTCGATTCCGTGCACTTTATAATAAGCTATGAATTCTGTGAACGCCTGTATAGTTGGGTACCGGCCATACATGGGTCGCACGCATATGGTCTTTATTGGTGGGCCCATCCGGTGCTCAGGTCTGTCCCGTTTTAAAATTAATTTATATTAATTAGCATGTCAACTTAATTATAATGTAAATATAATATTACTAGCATTATATTATGATCAATACATACATAACATTAACATTCATTTCAATGTGCATATAATTAAAACTCGTGTTTGTATTAAAGTTTACGACTCGTATCGATGTCTGTATTTTGTTGTACACAATTATGTCTCTAAAATTGCACATTATTTTTGCAGCACTTTTTATTTTGTAAATAAAAATAATTATAACAATAAATAAATTAAATGATCTATTTTATTATATGCAAACCCATAGGTAGTGTCATGAGTTTCTGGTAGGACTTGTATTAATGCCGGTGATAATTGGCCATTACTTGTTAAACAATGTAATACTGGGTCATAATTAATGTCCACTCGTATGATAGCAACTATAATAATAGTTTTGTTGTTTAAACCGTAGGCTGAATACAAGTATAGATTGTTATCAAAACTTTTAAACGGATTATAATTAATTTTAATTTCATTATAATTGTTATATTTTGTAGATTTTAATCCATAATAAAATAGATATAATGAGTATATAATTAAAATACATGTTATAATCAATAAGACTTTATTTCTTTTACGATAAATACAGTAAGGTTTAGATTGACAAAACATATNCATTCGTCGAATTGTATGAAGCCTGCAAGTATGGTATAAGGGCATCAGGTTCTAAAAAGCCACTGAAACGTTCATTTAACGATGCCATGTTATGCAAAATTTGTTTTGAAAATGAATTAAGTTCTCTACTGTTGCCTTGTCGCCACAATGTCGCATGTATTCATTGTGCCCTTAAACTTGATTCGTGTCCGATATGCCGTCAAGAAATTCGCGCTACTTTGCAAACATTTTTATAATTATTTACTTATTTTCATTATGTTATTGTATTCCTTAATATTCAATAAATATATATTCGAAACTTTATTTGTTGACATTATTTATCTATAGTAATAGTCTTGTAATATTAATTACAATTAAGCCACGCCCTTATATGGGGGTCTAGTCTATACTACTCACTACTAACGTTTACATGTTTTTGCAATATTTGAACAGATGAACATGTTAATTATTTCAAGTGATAATTACATTAAATGATAATTACTATAGTAAAACAATTAACTAGATATGTTTTGTCAATCTAAACCTTACTGTATTTATCGTAAAAGAAATAAAGTCTTATTGATTATAACATGTATTTTAATTATATACTCATTATATCTATTTTATTATGGATTAAAATCTACAAAATATAACAATTATAATGAAATTAAAATTAATTATAATCCGTTTAAAAGTTTTGATAACAATCTATACTTGTATTCAGCCTACGGTTTAAACAACAAAACTATTATTATAGTTGCTATCATACGAGTGGACATTAATTATGACCCAGTATTACATTGTTTAACAAGTAATGGCCAATTATCACCGGCATTAATACAAGTCCTACCAGAAACTCATGACACTACCTATGGGTTTGCATATAATAAAATAGATCATTTAATTTATTTATTGTTATAATTATTTTTATTTACAAAATAAAAAGTGCTGCAAAAATAATGTGCAATTTTAGAGACATAATTGTGTACAACAAAATACAGACATCGATACGAGTCGTAAACTTTAATACAAACACGAGTTTTAATTATATGCACATTGAAATGAATGTTAATGTTATGTATGTATTGATCATAATATAATGCTAGTAATATTATATTTACATTATAATTAAGTTGACATGCTAATTAATATAAATTAATTTTAAAACGGGACAGACCTGAGCACCGGATGGGCCCACCAATAAAGACCATATGCGTGCGACCCATGTATGGCCGGTACCCAACTATACAGGCGTTCACAGAATTCATAGCTTATTATAAAGTGCACGGAATCGAGAGATTTGTGTTATATTCCTATCAAATATCACAACAATTATTGCAATTAATTGTCAATAGGTTTGCAACAATTGTTGACATAGTTGTACTGCCCTTTCGGTACCCGTTTGGTCGGGGGTTAATCCACGCCGAGGGCCAGATAGCGGCCCAACACGACTGCCTGTACCGATACGCTCACGATATCATTGTTTTTGTTGATTTTGATGAGTATATCGTACCAAAAATGTAATGTAGATTTTTTTTAATTATTATTAACTATGTTAGTAGTAGGGTAGCGAACTGGTAGTGGTTGGTGCCTGGTATACAAATTTTAGCATATAGTTGCCGCATGGTATACAAACTATATAGGGCATATATTGGGGGTAAGGCTTACTAAGGGTACCCCCTTTTAGGAGGGCATAGCTTACTAAGGGTACTACCTTTTGGGAGGGGGAGGGCTTACTGGAGTAACTCCTTGTGGGGAAACAGGGCTTACCAAGATATACCGCTTTTAGCCTAACCAAGCCTACCACTGTGGTTACCAAAGCTTACCAAGCCTATCCCCATTATTGAGGGGAAGTCTTACCAAGGGTAGCCCTATTTTTGAAGGCAAGGCTTACCAAGATATACACATTTTAGATGAGGCAATGCCTAACCAATGCTAACCAAGCTTACCAACGCTAACCAATGGTTACTATGGTTACCAAAGCTTACCAAGGGTACACCGTTTTAGGGGCAAGGCTTACCAAGCCTACCACTGTGCTGGGCAAGGCTTACCAAGATATATACATTTTTGGATAGCCACGCCTAACCAATCAAAGCTTACCAACGCTATCCAATGATTACTATGGTTACTAAGCTAACCAAGGTAACGAATGTTATAGGTCAGGCACATATTACGTAACAAATCTTACCAGTAGTAGCAAAGGGGTGCATTCACATAGTACGTAAACAAGGCTTACCAAGATAATGCCTTTTATAAAGTATAAATAAAGTAAACAAAGTTGTATTTAATTGAAAAATTTTTTATTTAATGAAAAAAGTGATACAATAATATTGATATTTAATAAGAATAATAGTTTAATACATGTATTTATTATTTGAATTGAAGACAATGATTATTATGAAATTAAGTTTAAATATTTAGTCAAAATAGTTTGAAAAATCTGTTGAATCTTTAAGATACATAGCCATTAGTTTGACTTTTTGATGAGCACAAACGCCATCTGCTTTATGAATGTGTCGATCACAAGTACGATGATTACAATAATAGTGGCCGAGGGTGTAGAATGAAGGAGTATTTACTTCAACAAACGGTATGATCAACTCTTGAAGTAGTGTAGCCAAATGGGGGTTTTTAATTCCAACAACACTGTCTTCTGATTGACGATATCTTTTCCACAACAATACTAAAAACACTTTAAATTTATAGTAAGGAATGCTTCCTTCAGGTGAAGCATAGGGAAGGCCCGTATAATTTGTTCTGATATACTCATTGGTAATCTTATCCTTAGTGTTTAACGAATCGAATTGGAATGGAATTTTCACATCCCAGCTATGGATCTTGTCAGAGTTAATCCCAGTCACCGCCAATTCTCTGGGAATGAATGTTGGATTAACCCAAAAGCCTTGAGCGTCAAAAATTGCGCAAATATTTGCCATTTTGATGTTTGAAATATTAAGTTTGCGAAATCCTTTTAATAACATTTGTTAATAAATCACTAATTTCGTCATTTATTGTAAATAATTTGGTATTAAATAATCTTTGAATTTGAAATAACCCCATATCAAGGGATTTTAAAAACACAAATACAATACAAAACTGGCCACAGTTTGCAGAATTAATTCCTTGTATGATTTGCTGATTATACATCCAGCCATTAGGACAATTATTGTTTAAAAATATAACAAATTCTTCTTTTATAGGATATAAGCCATATGAATCAAAATATATACCAAATTTTTCTTTTGAAATATGCACAGCGACCCAATGTTCACCATTGTTTGTTGATGGATGTGTATTCATTATTAATAAAGCTGGATATGTTTTTATGATTGGCAGTTTGTCAAGTGCAAAAGCGCCCAGAAAGTATGTAATGTTCTTTAAAATATTATTAATTTCTATGGTATTCATTATTAGAATTGATCAATTGAGGCATTTCTTTTCTCATCAATTTCAAGAAGTTTGTCGAATTCACAAAATATGAGAACAGTTATCGTTTCACTAATTGGCTTTTCAAAACGAAGCGCTAGCCTAAGGGAACCGAATTTAATTTGATTCAAATGGCCAACAGATCCACATCCATTGCTTAGATCAGGGGCAAAATTTAAACAATAAATAGTGTTTCCCTTGTTGTAATTGTCCCGATTAATATTGAATGTTGAGTCACAATCAATCATGTCAAGAGATTCATACAATTTATACAATTCTCTTTGATAAATTTTATTAGAAAAACTCGGTGTAAAGCCATTTTGGGGGTATTGTTCACCATCCAAATATACAATTAAATTTGAAAGATTGTAATGTTTAAAATTAAACGGATTTAAATTATAGTCTCCACAATAAGAATCATTATTAGTTAAGCAAATTAATATGCGTCGCGGTAGTTGACCGCTATGAATGTTATCAATTGAGATATCGTTTGTTCCTTTTATAAGGGTAAATGTTTTAACCTTATTGACAGTCAAAAGATATCTTGCAGGAGCAATTTTAAGAGCTGCTGTATGAGCATCAACCACCATTTTATTCACTTTTGATCGATGAACGATTATAGAGGTTCCCATTAATTCAACCTCTGGTTTATGTGTTGTTGACATTAAATAAAAATTTGGTTCATTTAATAACAGACGAATCGATAGTTTACAGCCACCAAGGAGGCTTCGTCCTTGAAATGTTAAATCTGTGTGCAAACGGCCAATTAAATCCAATTCGTTATATTTTTCTAAATATTTAGTAATTTCTGGCACAATTATTTCTTCTTTAGAATCTTATACCACAGGGCAGTAGACAAGTGACTATTTTTCATATCTTTACTGAATCCAACGAATGCTTCAAAATATGCTTTGTAAGCATATGTAGGCGATGATGTAGTAATTTGTTTATCCCCAATAAAAATATCAACTTGCTTTATCATCGAGTGAAGCAGATAATTGACTGGACATATTGTCTCAAACTCTTTGTCATCTGTTATTGTTGTACATTTTTTAAGTTTAATTTTCATATATAGGGTCAATTTTTCAAAATCAATATATTCATCAACAGCTGTTACAATATCAAACTGAATGGCTGAATTTGCATCGACAGCTGAGATAGGTCGATGTTCTGTAATGATGACTTTCTCTATCATATTTTGTGTTGGAGGAATTCCAAACAAATCAAGCTTTGACAGCGGTGCGTTTGAAGACATTTCATGTATCATTGTTTGCATGATTATTCAAAAAGATTTATTTGTTTTCTGTTAGAAAGAGATAGTTTTTCAACAAAT